AAAGGATTCATGTAGCCGACCCCACGCACTCTTGTTATTTTAGATGGATAACTATAGAAATAGAAAAACAAGTTTGTATAGTTTTATGTATATGTTTTAATATGAAATAAATACCTAATTAATATTCTTATATACAATCGTCTATTCCCCACAACACATCTGCTGCCTGTCTGTAAAATTCAATAGTCCTGATTTCCCTCCTACTTTTCATCATTCTCCAAGCTTTCCGAAAGCTGCTCTCCAGTTAAGTAGAGGGAACAGTTGATGTTTTTGAGCATCATGATGGAGGGAGGAATGATTTGGGGTAGAGACATAAGTGCAGAGTTGTGTGGCCATGTGACTTCTAGGTCTTGCACATTGTACTTGATATGTTTTGTATGACGATGATGTTTAGTACGGGATTTTTCGGCCCTAATAGTTTGTGGAGGAGGGTGCTCATGCTCCCTTTGTCAACCAGTTTTTGCATAGGACTCATGGTTGGGTTAAAGGGCAAAGGGTGAGAGGTGGTAGTGGTAGGGAGGAGAGTAGATGAATGGTTCTTAGGGTGGCATAGGGAGGATCAACTCTCTTCAAGGGAGTCAGGAGAGTGTTAATCCAAGTCAAATAAGAGTCAGATTTAGAATGACATAATAAATTGCCTTGAAATTATTTTAAGAATCTCAAACATGTTTTAGTGATTTGTAAAATAAACAATTTAAAAAAATAATAATATGAATTAAAATAAGCAAACCTTAAAATTTTTGTTATCATTTTGATTATTTTAAAAAATAATTAAAAAAGTAAAAGATAGTATGAAATAGCGAGTAAACAAGTTAAAAATAAAACAAGGATAGAAATTACTAAGTGAGAAGTTTAGTATTCTCCCAATCACATCAAGTTTCATCTATCTGATGTAGATGTCAATATTTGTGAATCACTCCAGGAATTGATATCTATAAGCACACTCACAAGAGTTTAAAGAAAAATGGAATTTTATTTAATTATTTTTACATTCATCGGTTGTGCTATATCTCATGAAAGGCCAAAAATTAATAATTCCTTGTAATCCTCAAAGATCTGGTAAAAAATCTGCAAGTTCCAATTCAACACCTTTGGACTCTTTCAAAGACAGAAAATTTCCAAAATTAAATTACTGTCTCAGAAATTTTTGCATGACCTATTCTATGGAGGCTTAATTTTTTATTGTCTTATTTATACAATTTATCTTGCAGATACTTATCCGGTTAGAAGATAACAGATTAGTAGAGGCTGTAGGAATACCAGTTGAACATGAGAAAGGTTCTTTTCGCCTTACTGCATGTATATCGTCACAGGTATATCTTCTAAGTTGGTTGAGAACTCTAGTTCACTCAGCTGTTCAGTTCCTTCCATCTATATTAATTCTTATGTATTTATATTGCACACGATTTTTATGTCTTTACATATCTCGCTTGTAAACTTTCATATTTACACTCATAGCTCTCAAATCTTTGATATTACAAAAAAAATAGAACAATTATCAATTTTTTTTTATTGTGAAATACACCTGTTCATTCATAGGCTTAAAGCACCAAAGTGCCATGTATGTATATATGAAAGTTTAGGTGTGAGATATGTAAATACATAAAAATTGTGTGCTAGGTATGTAGATTTTCCTTATTTTTATTGTTTGCTAACTTATTAACACCTGTCATGTAACATCATCTTTTTTGTTATTCAACTTCTATTTCTTCTTTTTATGTTTTGTGGGCTTATGCAGGTTGGCTGTCCCCTGCGGTGCTCCTTTTGTGCTACCGGTAAGGGTGGTTACTCAAGGAACCTCCTTCGGCATGAAATAGTTGAACAGGTACTTCTGAAACTATGGTATTTGCTCTCCATGGTTGAGCTGTAGAAATAATGTGTGAGCCAATGGATTTTAGGTAATGGCGATTGAGGAGATTTTCAAACATAGGGTCACGAATGTTGTGTTTATGGGAATGGGTGAGCCAATGTTGAACCTGAAGTCAGTCCTGGAATCTCACAGATGCTTGAATAAGGTTTATCATAAGCTTCTTTTCATTTTTTGTGTTCTATTATCTTTTGTTCAGATGTTAAATTTACATTATGGAATCTGTCATTTGTTTTAGTAGCTTTTACTTTTCTGATTAGTATACTCTTCCAGATTTTCATCAGCGACCTTTAAAAAATTTATATATTTTTTCAATGATTTTAGTGCTAGAGAAGCGCAGTTTTATTCTTGATGTCTGATAAGTCATATTCCCTTTCCTTAAATGATTTTGTGATTGCTGATTTTTTTACATTAAACTTTTTCAAGTTATGATTGTCCTTATGGTTATAGGATTTACAAATTGGACAAAGAATGATGACAATATCCACAGTTGGTGTGCCAAACACAATCAAGATGTTGGCATCACACAAGCTTCAATCAACATTGGCTGTTAGGTGAATACTCGCTTACAAATCCTTACTTTAGCAAGCTTCATTATGCAATTTACATCAACAATAAGTCTTTATCCCATTAAGTGGGGTCGGCTACATGTAATTTACCTCAATAAAAAAAAATCCAATGATATTGGAAATTACATTATTTTATATTTTCTAACATTACAAAATTCTTACCAAAGAAAATCCTTAGCCTGCATTTTCTTCTTTCAGTCTTCATGCTCCTAACCAAAAACTTCGTGAGGAAATTATTCCAAGTGCGAAATCCTACCCTATAGATGCACTTATGCATGATTGCAAGGATTATTTCCAAGAAACTGGAAGGAGGGTGTCTTTTGAATATACACTTCTAGGTGAATTTGCTCTCTTACACAATCCTTCTTAATGCAAAGAAGCAAAACTATTGGAATTAACATTTAGTATTTGCTTTTTAAACCTTTCTTTGTTTCTTAGCTGGAACAAATGATGCGGTAGAACATGCAGTAGAGCTTGCTGAGCTTCTCCGCTGCTTTAGCCCTGGCTCACATGTCAATCTCATACCATTCAATCCAATAGACGGTTCTGCATACAGAAGGCCATACAAGAAAGCGGTATACAATAATTTACAGTTTCCCACTTTATTTACATGACTAACACCTAACTTCAATTTTTATATACATCTCACCTTATCTATGCATGAAAAGGTGTATTTCACTTTTTAAAAGTTAAAATGGTGGTATTTACATCCGAAGAATCCATGGACATTTGCTCGATTTGCAGGTTCTAGCATTCGCTTCAGCCTTAGAAGGTAGAAAGATAACTGTCAGCATTCGCCAGACACGTGGGCTTGATGCAAGTGCAGCCTGTGGACAGCTCAGAAATGATTTCCAGAAGAGGCCTCTTCTTGATTTACCAACTTCTGAGTCTCAACTCTCTCCTGTATGAAGCACAAGCTGTCCGCCAATCTCTTAGAATGAGAAATTCATGATATAATGAGGTGATGAAGAAGATGAAAGTGGTTTCAGATCTTCTATTCATTGCATCCGGTTGTAGCCAATCCTGATGGTGAATGATATGCAGCTACCACCAGCAAAGAAATTTCAACTCTGCAGATTCTGGATTAGTAGTGGAAGACTTGAATTTCATAACTTTCTCCGGCCGACTTTGTCTTCATTGGTCAATGTGGAGCTTTTGAGCAATTTTTAAAGTTGATTTTTATCTAGCAAGGCTTGATTGTTTGAATCAGAGATTCAAATAGCTGATCTTCTTTAATATTCATTACAATAGTTACCAGAAGCTAAAACTTTTGTTGTAGCATGAAAGTTTAATGCCTTTCAAACTGGAGAGCTTCTGAATTTTGAAGTACTTTTGCGTGTTGGAGCTTCAGTTTTAGGAGCTTTGAAGAGTCTTTTGTTTTGTAAAGTGTCATGTTTTAAACGTGCCGACAATTATGCTGTTGGCTTTGTTAATGCTTGTTCTGTTCCAGCTTTCATTCATCAAAGCATTTAACAGCTATGCGAACAGAGTGATGTACGCTTGCATTCATATAAGATTAACTTTGGGTGCAATTTTCATAATGTCCTTTGAAATTTGTTATTTTAGGGACTGCTTGGGGTAGCTGCAACTTATTGAATAATATGTTGATAAGTTGATAAAAAATAATATACTGATAAGTTAAGTGCGGTGACTATTACAAATTTTTAATTTTTTTGGAAAAGTCAGACCACAACCAAAAAGCTGTCACCACATCTAGATAGATGTGGTGTGAAACACAGTTTTCAGCATTTTGAAAATGCATAAGCTGTCAAAATACAGTTTATTAAAATAGATCAGGTGCGTTTTGAAAACGCTGCTGCATTAAATAAGCTGCCCCAGACGGTTAGTCTCACTTTTTGATTTAGAGAAGAGTAGTGGTAAAAAAGAATGTATTTCTCTTTTGGTTTGTTTGTGCCAATTAGTATTTTCATTATCTAGATGTTTTGTTGGTTATTGGGGGCTATAATTTTACTTGCCGGTCATTTACATAAACACTACATAATTTATATCCATTTATATATATATATAGCATTTACATACATACCGCCCAATTCTTATGTATTTACATGTTTAACGTCTAAATTTTAATTTTTATATTTATAACACTCAAATCATTCATATTATATAAAAAAATATCATTATTATTAACTTCAAAAGATGAAATACATTTCTTTTTTATAATAGAAGTGTTATAAATATAAAAAATGAAAATTAGGGATTAGATATATAAATACAAAGTAATTTTTTTGGTATGTATGTAAATTTTTCTTCTCTTAATTTTGTTGCTGTCTAGTCTGGTTGGCTTATGCCTCCATTGGCTGCTCGCTTTGGAAATTGCTGCTGGGTTGGCCGTCACAGTCTGATGGGTGTTCTCACCGTATGGGTGACCGCAGGTCCGCAGCAAACACACAAGCCCGCTTCAAACTCCAAGAAGGAATCTTTTCCCTGTTTACTCCCTCCATCAATACAAAACCCTAAACCCATCACGAAGCCTTGGAGCTTTACTTGAATTCCTCCAATGGCGGACAACCTCTCCTCCGATGAGGACTCAGAGTTCAGCGAATCTGAACTCGACGACTACGCCGAGAAAGCCTATTTGTCCTTCAAAGACGGAAATCACCGAATTCTAAACCCCGATGGCACCATGCGCTGTCCTTTCTGTGCCGGTAAGAAGAAGCAGGATTATCGATACAAAGACCTTCTTCAGCACGCAATTGGAAGGGGCTCTTCCACTTCAAGAAAGGCTAAGGAGAAGGCCAACCATCTTGGCTTTGCTCGATTCCTCCAAAACGACCTCGCCCTGGCCGCAGGGATCGTGAATCCTTCTCCTCCACCGCTTGCAGCTGAAAAGGCATCATCCAGTTCTAATTCGAGCACCGACGAGCTTTTTGTTTGGCCTTGGGCGGGAATGCTTGTCAATTTGCCTATAGAATATGAGTGTGCTCTTCTCAAAGAGCAATTTTCAGAGTTCAATCCGGTGGATCTCATTGTTTCTCCTGAGCGATACCCTGAATCGGGTAAAGGCGAGGCTGTGATTTTGTTTAATAGTGATTGGAGTGGGTTCAAGGATGCCGTGGCATTTGAAAACCACTTTAAGGCTAAGCGGCTGGGAAAGAAGGATTGGAATGAAAAGAAAGGCCTGAACTTGACTGGGATTCATGGGTGGATTGCACGTGATGATGATTTTAATTCTGATAGGCTGCTTGGAAAGATTCTGCAGAAGCATGGGGAATTGAAGACGGTGGAGGATGTGACGGAGGAGGAGGCGAGGGAGAATGGTATGGTGGTGGCTGTTCTTGCGAAGAAAATAGAGGTGAGGAATAAGTACTTGCAGGAATTGGAGTGCAAATATAGCGACACGAACATGTCACTTAAAAACTTGATGGAATCGAATGCTAAGATTCTACAGGAGTACAATGAAGGTGAGTTAGTTATCATGGTTTCTTATTTTAGACGATCAAATCTTAGATGTGGCTTATTATTTTACTTCAGATTTTAGTTTGTTTTAGCTATTGCATTGACTAAAAGAAATGGACAATTTTTTGGATGTTTTGCAAGTTGAGAACTTTGCTTTTTAGTGTTAAATTATTATTGGTCATCTCTATAAGTGCAGCTAGTATATAGTAGATGCATCTGCATTTTTAATGTTTTGATCTATTGATGTTTTTATTCTCAGGATTTTTATATTTCTCACTAAAGTTTGTTATTTTTATTATTAATATTTATTTTTTTATTTTTGATGTGTATTGCACCTGCTCCCAGTGTTGCTATTGCTTTTATTAATACTCAGTTTGTGTCTATGACGCATTTGTCTCTTCCATCTGACTCAAGCTACTGATTTTTGTATTTTGGATTAGGAGAGGTAATAATTGGTAGACTAAATAAGAATGTCAGGATAAATAGGACCACTTAGTCACATTACATGTGTTTCACAGACATTGTTTAAATGAATGTGATTATTACTTGTTTCTAGGTATGTGAAACTACCTGAAGAACCAACTTGATCAATTGATTCATTTCACTTCCTAATATGTCACAATTTGTATGCATTTTTTAAATTCTTATAACTAAATCTAATTGAATTCTTTGTTTTTAGATGTTCAGGTACAAACTACAATCTAAGTATTATTTATCTAACTCCTAACACATGCTCTCATCACTTTTGCTTTCTCCTTACTGCTCTATCCCCTGTCTGCTTCTCATGCTTTTTGACCCTATTGCCGTTTTCTATTGAATTTACCTTTATTGCGGACATTACCTTCATAACTTATTGCTTTGATTGTAATGTTGTCTTGCAGCAAAGTTCCGTTGTTGTTACTATGTCTACATTCGCCATGACCACAAACTTCACATTCACAGTCATTGTTGTTCGTATTTTCCACTCTTTCGCCTCACCTTCCGTATTTACTCAAAGATTTTCACAACCACCCGACACCTTTACATTCTCCCTCCTTTCCCTTGTTGTTCTTAGTTTCCTGTTCCTCTATCTTCCTATAGGGAAAGCCTTTTAAGGACAAAAAAAATGTCGACTAAGCTTGAGGGAAACCCAAGGACTCATGCTTATTTGAATGGTGATTAATTTAGTTTGGATATGTGCATGAAAAGTAGAAAACATATAGGACTGGTTTTGCTCACTTTTTTTGCTTAGAACATATCCAAATAAACCTGAGTTGCATATCTGTTGGATTTAACCAAAAAATTGGCCTACTCTAATCTGGACAGGATGATTGTCCTTACTAAGAAGGAATAGATATGTGGCCATGGGCAAGATATGTTCATTATTTGGCATGATCTGGGGTTGAACATAAACCCACACGTGGTCATCCTATTTTAAGTTAGCTTGACATGTCCTATGCCCAAATCTTGTGTTCAAACATAGAACTTAAAAAAAAAGTTTTATGGTTGTTACATTGTGATGTTTTGAGTTTTGACCTTACATTTCTTCATATAATTTTCTGGAGGAAAATTTCTGAGCTGTTGGTGTAGACTACCGGGAAAATGCTTCATTTCTTGTCATGATATCTGTTGGCAAGCTGTTTAGGTTCTTCATCATTTGGATAGCTCATAAAATAAGCAATTTATTTCTTATTATATTATTCATTATAACAATCGTCGCTTGGATAGCTCATATAATAAACATTTCATTTCTTATTATATGATTCATAATTACAATTGTTTTCTTTTCTTTTTGTGACTTGTATAGCTTCTGTGGTTGGATTAAAAAAAAATCCTCCTTACTGAGATATCAAGTTGATAGGGTGTGAACATGGATCCATATTGATGTAGGACGCTTCGGGTTTAAGGCTTCCAATGCATTTTGAATGAGGCAATGAACACATGGTACAAAAACAAGAACGGCTACAATTTGCACGAAATTCCCTTCTTTAGGTGTAGATTCACGAAATTGAGAAAGCTAAAACTGAATGATAAGACAGGCACCAACTGTTTTGAGAAATTTACTGAGAAATACAAACCACAAAAATTAGTAAGCCGTTAAATTGGTTGTCTCAATTAGAAATATCAGAGAAGAAAATTGATCAAGGAAAGTGATCACTAAAATGAAGAAAATTCTAATCTCACACCATTACAAAGAGATATTGATTGCCTGAAAGCTGTTTATTTCGCCTACATCACTCTCGAATGAATCTTGCTTCCTACAATAACTCTGTTTAAAAGTAGAAAACAAAAATGTTATTGATAAAAAACTAAGGATCAACACTTGTATCATATAAGATACTCATAATCATCTAATATTTTTTGAAATCTACATAAAGCGGCCATAGGGGCTGTTTGGGAACTCTTTGGATTCAATCTAGTAGGTTTTAGTAAATCAAGTAAATTCAAATTTGATTAATTCTGGGATTATTAAATCATATAAATTGTTGGGCTTGAGATTTATTAAATTTGGTGGCATCCTCTGAAATTATTTGGCAACTTCTTTCAAGTTTTAACTCTTTATATTTAGGTAGAATTTAATAAAAATATTGAAAAATATTGAGCTAGTACAACAAGGTATTTGTTTAATAAACCCTATATAATTTAAATTATTCCACCAAATTAGTCTTTAATTAATATTTAAGTATTTATCAATTAATTATTAATTAGTTTGTTTGCTAACTTTATCAATCATTACTTGCAAATATATTAAACTAAGTGAACAATAATCAGTACTTTGAGGCCAACTATTCAAGCATTAATCAATTATTTCCTCAATTAAATCAATTATTAAATAATTTCAATTTAACTAAATTAAAATAAAATAACTTTTATAAAATGCTATCTTTATGTGTCATTATTTGATATCATACAGCTTTATAGTAAAATCAAATTTTAATCCTTTGAATTTGATATCATACAGCTTTATAATAACTAAAATTTAATCAAACTATAGGGGAAGTGAATGAAGCCAAATGAGAGCTTACCCAGGTTATTAACAGTCATAAAGAAAGAGAATATATCTTGTTCTAATAGGTCTGTCTAAATAACTAAATTAAAAAGGCCACTAAAATGAAATTACTTGAGTTTCAATTTCTTTATTAACATTTTCTCATGATGTAAACATGCCTGTCATCATCAAATCTACTTGACTTGGACCAAATATTCGGCTTTGAAAATTTTATCATTTGGAAAATCAATGCATTATTTTTATTGTTTTCTACAAAGCCTTACATGAGTAGTCGCAAATAGGTATGTCACAATTGTGTACAACTGTCGGTCAACTTTTTGATTTCGATTGATTAGATTTATTTGAAAAATATGATATATGAAAATAATTTTTGAGATTTAATTTAAATATAAAAGATATATAGTTTGAGTTTTAAAAGTAGTATGTTTTAATTTTTGAAAAATGAGACCAAATGGATCTCATTAGTCCAATAGTTTGCATAATCGTGTCTGATACCGCGAATACTACACCCTCCCGAAAGATAAGTGTAGACCTCGGCGATAGACCCAATCCAGCAAACTAAGAGATTTGTGACATCCGTTTAGTCTGCGAACCTTTTATATATGACCGACAAGTTCCCCTATTTAATACAAAGATTAAATAGGGTTTATTTTACCTGGGTTCCAA